AATAGAGTGCTACATTTGTGTATATGCAATTTATCATTTGTGCATTTTAATTCCCCACCTGTAGGGAAGGCCTGATACAACTAATTTGTGATATGATAATGGAGTATATAAATCTTTGCCAATAGGGTCACTATACCATTTGTATTGAGAAAGCTCCTAAGAGAATGATATGTGCAGACCTTTCCTAGCTGTGTCCAAGGACCATTTCTTTATAGAAAGCCTGAACATGGTTTTATGAAGCACAGGTCATGTCAAACTAACTTGATTGCGTTCTCACGAAGTAAGTAGAAGTATAGATCAGGGTGTTGCGTGGATGTGATCTTTTGGATTTGCCAAGGCATTTGATACAGTTCCACACAATAGATTAGTGTTCAAACTCAAAGAAATTGGTCTAGATGAAGTAAATCAACTGGGTAGACATTTGGCTTAAAACAGAGTACAAAGAGTTGTCATTAATGGTAAATTTTCAAGCTGGACAGAATTTGTAGGAAGTGGTGTCCCTCAGGGGTCTGTTCTGGGACCCCTTCTATTTAACATGTTTATAAATGATCTTGAAGACAGCATTGAAAGTCATGTTTCAGTGTTTGCAGATGACACAAAACTTTTTAAAATAATACAATGTGAGCAAGATATTACTTTGCTGCAGAGGAATTTGGATAGACTGGGGGACTGGGCACTCAAATGGCAGATGAAATTTAATGTTGAAAAATGCAAAGTTATGCACTTCGAAGTAAAGAATACACAAGCAACGTATACCCTTAATGGAAGCGAATTAGGGATAACAACACACGAAAAGGACTTGGGAATTGTTATAGACAACAAACTATGCAACAATGTGCAATGTCAATCAGCAGTGGCCAAGGCCAGTAAGGTATTGTCATGCATGAAAAAGGGCATTCATTCTCGGGACAAGAATATAATTTTGCCTCTTTATAAATCACTGGTAAGACCACATATTGAATATGCTGTGCAATTTTGGGCACCTGTTCTAAAGAAGGATATTATGGCACTAGAAAAAGTGCAGAGGCGGGCTACAAAATTAATAAAAGGAATGGAACATATCAGCTATGAAGAAAGGTTAACAAATTTAAACCTATTTAGTTTAGAAAAACGTCGCCTGAGAGGGATATGATAACATTATACAAATATATTCGGGGCCAATACAAACCATTGTGTGGAAATCTATTCACAAACCGGACTTTACATAGGACACGAGGCCATGCGTTTAGACTGGAAGAAAGAAGATTTCGCCTAAGGCAAAGGTAAGGTTTTTTTACTGTAAGAACAATCAGGATGTGGAATTCTCTGCCTGAGGAAGTGGTTTTATCAGAGTCCATACAGATGTTCAAACGGCTACTAGATGCATACTTGCAAGAACAGAATATTCAAGGATATAATCTTTCAATGTAGGGTAATAACTGCTTGATCCAAGGATAAATCTGGCTGCCATTCTGGGGTCAAGAAGGAATTTTTTTCCTAGCTTGTTGCAAAATTGTGCTTCAAACTGGGTTTTTTTGCCTTCTTTTGGATCAACAGCAAAAAACAAATGTGAGGAAGGCTGAACTTGATGGACGTAAGTCTCTTTTCAGCTATGTAACTATGTAACTATGTAACTATGTAACTATTTTGTTTATTGCATAAAACTGCACAATAAGTATTTCTGATACCACCTGTATACCCATTACTGCCAGGAGCACTCATTATCTACGTTTGTGTAACTATGTTATATCAGCCAATGTCCAGATTTCCGATAAAACCATTACTGCCAGGAGCACTCATTATCTTCGTTTGTGTTCCTGTGTTATATCAGCCAATGTCCAGATTTCCGACACCACCATTACTGCCAGGAGCACTCATTATCTTCGTTTGTGTACCTATGTTATATCAGCCAATGTCCAGATTTACGATACCACCATTACTGCCAGGAGCACTCATTATCTTCGCTTGTGTACCTTTGTTATATCAGCCAATGTCCAGATTTCCGATAAAACCATTACTGCCAGGAGCACTCATTATCTTCGTTTGTGTTCCTGTGTTATATCAGCCAATGTCCAGATTTCTGATACCACCATTACTGCCAGGAGCACTCATTATCTTCGTTTGTGTACCTGTGTTATATCAGCCAATGTCCAGATTTCCGATACCACCATTACTGCCAGGAGCACTCATTATCTACGTTTGTGTACCTATGTTATATCAGCCAATGTCCAGATTTCCGATACCACCATTACTGCCAGGACCACTCATTATCTTCGTTTGTGTTCCTATGTTATATCAGCCAATGTCCAGATTTCCGATACACCATTACTGCCAGGAGCACTCATTATCTACGTTTGTGTACCTATGTTATATCAGCCAATGTCCAGATTTCTGATACCACCATTACTGCCAGGACCACTCATTATCTACGTTTGTGTACCTATGTTATATCAGCCAATGTCCAGATTTCTGATACCACCATTACTGCCAGGACCACTCATTATCTACGTTTGTGTACCTATGTTATATCAGCCAATGTCCAGATTTACGATACCACCATTACTGCCAGGAGCACTCATTATCTTCGTTTGTGTACCTGTGTTATATCAGCCAATGTCCAGATTTCCGATACCACCATTTCTGCCAGGAGCACTCATTATCTTCGCTTGTGTACCTTTGTTATATCAGCCAATGTCCAGATTTCTGATACCACCATTACTGCCAGGACCACTCATTATCTACGTTTGTGTACCTATGTTATATCAGCCAATGTCCAGATTTCCGATACCACCATTACTGCCAGGAGCACTCATTATCTTCGTTTGTGTACCTGTGTTATATCAGCCAATGTCCAGATTTCTGATACCACCATTACTGCCAGGACCACTCATTATCTTCGTTTGTGTACCTATGTTATATCAGCCAATGTCCAGATTTCTGATACCACCATTACTGCCAGGACCACTCATTATCTCCGTTTGTGTACCTGTGTTATATCAGCCAATGTCCAGATTTCCGATACCACCATTACTGCCAGGAGCACTCCATATCTTCGTTTGTGTACCTATGTTATATCAGCCAATGTCCAGATTTATGATACCACCATTACTGCCAGGAGCACTCCATATCTTCGTTTGTGTACCTATGTTATATCAGCCAATGTCCAGATTTCCGATAAAACCATTACTGCCAGGAGCACTCATTATCTTCGTTTGTGTTCCTGTGTTATATCAGCCAATGTCCAGATTTCCGACACCACCATTACTGCCAGGAGCACTCATTATCTTCGCTTGTGTACCTATGTTATATCAGCCAATGTCCAGATTTCTGATACCACCATTACTGCCAGGACCACTCATTATCTACGTTTGTGTACCTGTGTTATATCAGCCAATGTCCAGATTTCCGATACCACCATTACTGCCAGGAGCACTCATTATCTTCGCTTGTGTACCTATGTTATATCAGCCAATGTCCAGATTTCTGATACCACCATTACTGCCAGGACCACTCATTATCTACGTTTGTGTACCTATGTTATATCAGCCAATGTCCAGATTTCCGATACCACCATTACTGCCAGGAGCACTCATTATCTTCGTTTGTGTACCTGTGTTATATCAGCCAATGTCCAGATTTCTGATACCACCATTACTGCCAGGACCACTCATTATCTACGTTTGTGTACCTATGTTATATCAGCCAATGTCCAGATTTCCGATAAAACCATTACTGCCAGGAGCACTCATTATCTACGTTTGTGTACCTATGTTATATCAGCCAATGTCCAGATTTCCGATACCACCATTACTGCCAGGAGCACTCCATATCTTCGTTTGTGTACCTATGTTATATCAGCCAATGTCCAGATTTACGATACCACCATTACTGCCAGGAGCACTCCATATCTTCGTTTGTGTACCTATGTTATATCAGCCAATGTCCAGATTTACGATACCACCGTACTGTAGGGCATCATTATCTTCGTTTGTGTGTACCTATATTTATATCAGCCAATGTCAGATTTACGATACCACCATTACCGCCAGGACCACTCTTTATCTTCGTTTGTGTACCTGTGTTATATCAGCCAATGTCCCGATTTCTGATACCACCATTACTGCCAGGAGCACTCATTATCTACGTTTGTGTACCTATGTTATATCAGCCAATGTCCAGATTTCCGATACACCATTACTGCCAGGAGCACTCATTATCTACGTTTGTGTACCTGTGTTATATCAGCCAATGTCCAGATTTCCGATACCACCATTACTGCCAGGAGCACTCCATATCTTTGTTTGTGTACCTATGTTATATCAGCCAATGTCCAGATTTACGATACCACCATTACTGCCAGGAGCACTCATTATCTACGTTTGTGTACCTATGTTATATCAGCCAATGTCCAGTTCACAGTACACCACCGTTTTGCCAGGAGCACTCATTATCTTCGTTTGTACCTGTATTTATATCAATGTCCAGATTTCTGATACCACCATTACCGCAGGAGCACTCATTATCTACGTTTATTGTACCTGTGTTATTTCAGCCAATGTCCAGTTCTGATACCACCATTACTGCCAGGACCACTCATTATCTTCGTTTGTGTACCTATGTTATATCAGCCAATGTCCAGATTTCCGATACCACCATTACTGCCAGGAGCACTCCATATCTTCGTTTGTGTACCTATGTTATATCAGCCAATGTCCAGATTTCCGATACCACCATTACTGCCACGAGCACTCATTATCTTCATTTGTGTACCTGTGTTATATCAGCCAATGTCCAGATTTCTGATACCACCATTACTGCCAGGACCACACATTATCTACGTTTGTGTACCTATGTTATATCAGCCAATGTCCAGATTTCCGATAAAACCATTACTGCCAGGAGCACTCATTATCTTTGTTTGTGTTCCTGTGTTATATCAGCCAATGTCCAGATTTCCGACACCACCATTACTGCCAGGACCACTCATTATCTACGTTTGTGTACCTATGTTATATCAGCCAATGTCCAGATTTACGATACCACCATTACTGCCAGGAGCACTCATTATCTTCGCTTGTGTACCTTTGTTATATCAGCCAATGTCCAGATTTCCGATAAAACCATTACTGCCAGGAGCACTCATTATCTTCGTTTGTGTTCCTGTGTTATATCAGCCAATGTCCAGATTTCCGACACCACCATTACTGCCAGGAGCACTCATTATCTTCGTTTGTGTACCTATGTTATATCAGCCAATGTCCAGATTTACGATACCACCATTACTGCCAGGAGCACTCATTATCTTCGTTTGTGTACCTATGTTATATCAGCCAATGTCCAGATTTACGATACCACCATTACTGCCAGGACCACTCATTATCTACGTTTGTGTACCTATGTTATATCAGCCAATGTCCAGATTTCCGATACCACCATTACTGCCAGGAGCACTCATTATCTTCGTTTGTGTACCTGTGTTATATCAGCCAATGTCCAGATTTCCGATACACCATTACTGCCAGGAGCACTCATTATCTACGTTTGTGTACCTGTGTTATATCAGCCAATGTCTAGATTTCCGATACACCATTACTGCCAGGAGCACTCATTATCTACGTTTGTGTACCTATGTTATATCAGCCAATGTCCAGATTTCTGATACCACCATTACTGCCAGGACCACTCATTATCTACGTTTGTGTACCTATGTTATATCAGCCAATGTCCAGATTTCTGATACCACCATTACTGCCAGGACCACTCATTATCTACGTTTGTGTACCTATGTTATATCAGCCAATGTCCAGATTTACGATACCACCATTACTGCCAGGAGCACTCATTATCTTCGTTTGTGTACCTGTGTTATATCAGCCAATGTCCAGATTTACGATACCACCATTACTGCCAGGAGCACTCATTATCTTCGTTTGTGTTCCTGTGTTATATCAGCCAATGTCCAGATTTCCGATACCACCATTACTGCCAGGACCACTCATTATCTACGTTTGTGTACCTATGTTATATCAGCCAATGTCCAGATTTACGATACCACCACATGCTACAGGAGCACTCTATTATCTTCGTTTGTGTACCTGTGTGTTATATCAGCCAAATGTCCAGATTTCTGATACCACCATTACTGCCAGGACCACTATTATCTACGTTTGTGTGTACCTATGTTATATCAGCCAATGTCCAGATTTCCTATAAAACTTATTACTGCCAGGGAGCACTCCATTATCTACGTTTGTGTACCTATGTTATATCAGCCAATGTCCAGATTTGATACCACCATTACGCTAGAGCACTCTATATCTTCTGCTAGGTACTATGTTATATCAGCCAATGTCCAGATTTATGATACCTTCACCATTACTGCTAGAGTACTCCATATCTTCGTTTGTGTACCATGTTATATCAGCCAATGCTCAGGATTTATTTATAATACCACCATTACTGCCAGGAGCACTCATTATCTTCGTTTGTGTACCTATGTTATATCAGCCAATGTCCAGATTTACGATACCACCATTACTGCCAGGACCACTCATTATCTACGTTTGTGTACCTATGTTATATCAGCCAATGTCCAGATTTCCGATACCACCATTACTGCCAGGAGCACTCATTATCTTCGTTTGTGTACCTGTGTTATATCAGCCAATGTCCAGATTTCCGATACCACCATTACTGCCAGGAGCACTCATTATCTTCGTTTGTGTAACTATGTTATATCAGCCAATGTCCAGATTTACGATACCACCGTTACTGCCAGGAGCACTCATTATCTTCGTTTGTGTACCTATGTTATATCAGCCAATGTCCAGATTTACAATACCACCATTACTGCCAGGACCACTCATTATCTACGTTTGTGTACCTGTGTTATATCAGCCAATGTCCAGATTTCCGATACCACCATTACTGCCAGGAGCACTCATTATCTTTGTTTGTGTACCTGTGTTATATCAGCCAATGTCCAGATTTCCGATACCACCATTACTGCCAGGAGCACTCCATATCTTCGTTTGTGTACCTGTGTTATATCAGCCAATGTCCAGATTTCCGATACCACCATTACTGCCAGGAGCACTCATTATCTTCGTTTGTGTACCTGTGTTATATCAGCCAATGTCCAGATTTCTGATACCACCATTACTGCCAGGACCACTCATTATCTTCGTTTGTGTACCTATGTTATATCAGCCAATGTCCAGATTTCTGATACCACCATTACTGCCAGGACCACTCATTATCTCCGTTTGTGTACCTGTGTTATATCAGCCAATGTCCAGATTTCCGATACCACCATTACTGCCAGGAGCACTCCATATCTTTGTTTGTGTACCTATGTTATATCAGCCAATGTCCAGATTTACGATACCACCATTACTGCCAGGAGCACTCATTATCTACGTTTGTGTACCTATGTTATATCAGCCAATGTCCAGATTTCTGATACCACCATTACTGCTGGTGGAGCACTCATTATCTTCGTTTGTGTACCTGTGTTATATCAGCCAATGTCCAGATTTCTGATACCACCATTACTGCCAGGAGCACTCATTATCTACGTTTGTGTACCTGTGTTATTTCAGCCAATGTCCAGATTTCTGATACCACCATTACTGCCAGGACCACTCATTATCTACGTTTGTGTACCTATGTTATATCAGCCAATGTCCAGATTTACGATACCACCATTACTGCCAGGAGCACTCATTATCTTC